TCTCACCATTCTGGAGGCTGAAAACTCCAAGATTAAGATGGCAACAAGGCAGATTTCTTTTGTGACCTCTCATCTTGGCTTGTAAGTGGTTGCCATCTAGCTATGTGCTCACATGACCCCTTCTTTGTGCATGGTGAGGGGCGGGGAAGTGTTTTGGAAGGGGTTGGAGAGCTCTCTGTTGTCTGTCTCTTCTGATGAGGGTACTAATCCCACCATGAAGGCTCCACCCTACCCCTAATTACCTCCCTAAGGTCCCATCTCCAAATACCAACACACTGGGGGATAGGGCTTCAACATAAGAATCTGGGGGAGAGACATTCGGTTCATAACAAATGGTATCTTATTTTTGCTTTTAATTTCATTTCTTCAATTACTAGTAAAGTTGAATATTTTAATATATTTATTGGTCATTTACTTTCTCTTTTATTTTTCTTTTAAAAATGGTCTGTCCTGACTCCAAACCTGGAACAGGAAGGCTACAGGATGAGTCTGGAACATCTTGTCACACCAGAAAGCAAGGAAGCCACTACAGGCTACTAGAGCTGTGTCATAAGGACTCAGAGCCAAACTGAATAAGTCTATCTGCCCAAAGATATGGCAATTTGAGCATCAAAAGGAAAATAACTGAAATGGACTGAAACGCATCATATATGCTAAAACAGAGAAGTTCATAAAGATCCTCAAAAAGAAAAAAAAAAAAAGGAAAGAAAAGACCCTAGCTCCATTACCATTGGAAGATGGCAGGGAACCAACTCATGATTTTGGAGAGTGGCAAATAAAGGGAAATAATCAAACATTCCTACACAATGTATGTATACCTCAGGGTGAGTCCTTCATGCTCTTCCATACAGCAAAATATACCACCATTATAACATTAGCTGAGGAAAAAAACATCATCTGCATCAGCTGCAAATTTCAGAAAGATGTACCATATGTCACTATCCACGCAGAAGGGAAATTACAGGCCCCAGAAAGGATATAACATACATATTAGTTTCAACCCCCACGGTTCCCATATTTTTAAAAGGTACTGTGCATTCTGTTGGTGGGAATGTAAATTGATACAGCCACTATGGAGAACAGTATGGAGGTTCCTTAAAAAACTAAAAATAGAATTACCATATGACCCAGCAATCCCACTACTGGGCATATACCCAGAGAAAACCTTAATTCAGAAAGACACATGCACCCCAATATTCATTGCAGCACTATTTACAATAGCCAGGACATGGAAGCAACCTAAGAGTCCATCAACAGACGAATGGATAAAGAAGATGTGGTACATATATACAATGGAATATTACTCAGCCATAAAAAGGAACGAAATTGGGTCATTTGTAGAGATGTGGATGGACCTAGACACTGTCATACAGAGTGAAGTAAGTCAGAAAGAGAAAAACAAATATCGTATATTAAGACATACATGGGAAGCTAGAAAAATGGTACAGATGAACCAGTTTGCAAGGCAGAAATAGAGACAGAGATGTAGAGAACAAACGTATGGACACCAAGGGGGGAAAGTTGGGGCAGGTGGGGGCGGGGGATGAATTGGGAGACTGGGGTTGATATATATACACTGATACGTATAAAATAGATAACTAATAAGAACCTGCTGTATAAAAAATAAATAAAATTTTTAAAAAGGTACTGTGCATTAAAAAATAAAATTAAATAAAATTTTAAAACAACTAATTTGATTTTCTGTTTTAATTAAACAAATCATAGTTAAATAATTTCCAGTGAGAGCTCTTGATCATCATGAGACTACCTCAGTTGCTAACACTTAGTATGTTAAAATTTAGAACCTTTATAAACAAAATGTAATGTATACATACAATGGAATATTATTCAGCCTTAAAAAGGAAGCAAATTCTGAAACATGCTACAACATGGATGAACCTTGAAAACATGCAAAGTGAAATAAGCCAGTCACAAAAGGACAAATACTGTATGATCCCACTTATATGAGGGACCTAAAGTAGTCAAATTCATGGAGATAGAAAGTAGAAAGCAGAAAGGTGGTGGTTAGGAGTGTGTGTGGGGGGAGGAGGACAGAATGGGAAGTTATTGTTTAATGGACACAAAGTTTCAGTTCAGGAACATGAAAAGGTTCTGGAGATGGATGGTGGTGACGGTTGCATAACAATGTGAATGCACTTAATGTCACTGAACTGAACACTTAAAAATGGTTAACATGGTAAATTTTACGTTATGTATATTTTATCATAAAAAACTTAGTATTTTAATATGTTAAAATTTAGTTGACTAAATTAACATTATCCCAACCAAACTAAAAGAAATTCGACATTTCAATTACATATTCCCTGCAGTCTCACTAAGGAGAGATGTACAATTTGGGAAAAGCTTTTGATAATACTGAAAATACTTCACAGGGTAGGAACCAATAGAAGCCAATGCAGTAACTAAATCAGGACATTTCATAACAGAAGTTTTACTCAATTTTTTTTTTTTTTTTTGCCATATGCGGGCCTCTCACTGTTGTGGCCTCTCCCGTTGCGGAGGCGGAGCACAGACTCCGGACACGCAGGCTCAGTGGCCGTGGCTCATGGGCCCAGCCGCTCCACGGCATGTGGGATCTTCCCAGACCGGGGCACGAACCCGTGTCCCCTGCATCAACAGGCGGACTCTCAACCACTGCGCCACCAGAGAAGCCCTTACTCAATTTTTTAATGCATTTGATGAATCACATGCATAGTTGGGTCACTCAATCTATCTTCAATCTTTCTCCATCCACAGAAGAGAACAGGAAAGAGATCACTGATACTGTAAATGCAGTGAAACAGATGAAGAACAATGTCCTAGCTTAGTCCTGCACATGGAAAGCACTGAAGGAAGGCTGCTGTCTCTTTATTGTTCTTTCATCACTGGGGATCTCAGCATCAATGTTGGATGATGGTTCGATATAAAACAGGTTTCATGAACCACATACCCTTTTATGGCTTAAAAAAGTTTTTTTCCATGCAGGGTTTTGGTGGGGAAAATGTAAATAATCAAACTACCACTCATATAGCTCCATACGAAAACTAGAAAGTTCAATATGATACACACATCTTTTCTAAATGAAAAGTTGGTTTTAAAATAAACAGTAGTAAATACATTACTATTTCTCGGGCACAGGAAGTTAACTTGGGCTTTCTATTCTTCTCCCATGTCATAAAGCTTCACTGTGTTAAAAAAAATTTTCCCTATATGATCCCTCTAACTCAGTACTACATACTTCCAACTCTAGAGGTCAACAACACCTCCCCCCATCACAGGAAAACACTGCTACTTTCACAGCCCTTACTAAAATAGAGCACTTAAAATTCTCCAAAGAAATTCACATCCTCTAGCAACTCTCTCACACAAATTAAGTCCTATGCTTAAACACTAGATTTAGCTATTCACAATTTATTCATATACTCATTTCCACAACAGTAAACTATCAAGAAATAGAAAGGGACGGCTGAGTTCCTCCCAATCTGAGCGTGGCTATCATTGTACAATGTTGAGATCAGCTTCCAAACTGCCCCACCAGATCACCAGGAGTCCAGGCAGTTGCCTCTGGTTTGCGGCGTGGCTATGTGCAAGGAGCCCTGTCACTTTCCATCCATCACAACCCCAAATCCCAGCAATCAGTGCTGCAGGGCCTGGGGATGAGCATCCTCCAGGACCACAGCACCATTCCCTGTGGCCTTGCCTGCAAGAACTAAACTCCAAGAAATGCAAACCTGAGACACAGACAGAGAGGCACAAAGAAAGGGACTCCCAAATGTTTTTTTACATTCTTCAAAACTTTAGAAATGAATTATTTTCCCTGTGCTTTTTTAAGAATCTGCCTACTGGGTATCCTTAAGGTGCTGCTAAACTACTGCAAAATACAAAGAGGAGGACAATCCCCAAATAGAGAAATCCAGGGCAGAGCTCCCTGTAAGGGGAGCTGACTGTCCACCAGGGGAGAAGTGTTAGAAGACTTTCTGATCACCATGGCAATTTAGCAGGTAAGTCACATCCATCCCCGACAGAACTGTGTCACCCTTATTTCCTTCCACAAAGCTAGATGAACCTCACCTTTCCAACCTTAAAGTGGTGTGACAAGAAAAAGTAGACACCTCTCCCTACTAATTGCCCGAGCCGGTCAAACTTCAGACGCAGCATCATGCACTTTGTTTTTAAGCAGAGAGAAAAGAGGAAGGGTTGGCATTCTGAGCGGAATCCCCGTGATTTGCCAGAGGAAACAGCACAGACCAAACAGCAGAAGCGCCAGCATTTCCATGCAGCTGCCACGACAGGTGACCGGGCCGCTTTGCAGACACCCCGCTCGGTCGGGGGTAACACGGAGGTGGGGCGGCAGGAAGGCCAGGCGGGAGGGGGACAGCCTGGAGGACGAGAAGGTGGGCAGAGGCCGGGAGGGAAATCCACTCCATCCAGACGCCGGGGAGGAAGAGGAGGAGCACAGTTTCCCCCGGGAAACCGTTTTTTCTGTCTCCACAATTAAGGTGGTTTTCTGTCTCCACAATTAAGGCGTTTTCTGTCTCCACAATTAAGAAAAAAAAAATGGCTCCAAGCCAAACGCCTCCTGATTTACACACAGACACACATACACTCACGCGCGCGCGCGCACACCAAGCTCCTCTATCGCCCCATTTTCTTAGACACTGAAACAAAAGACTAAAACCGCTAAACGGCAGCGAGCGCCGCCCGGAGCCGGGTGTCGGCCACCGTCTCCCCACCGCGCCCTCGGGGAAGCCCACCCGAGGGGGCCGCCCGCCGCCCCCCGCCCAAGCCCCGGCCGGGGGCCGCCCGACGCACCCCCGCCCGCGCCCGGCAGAGGGGCCTGGCCGGGGCTGGGGGGCTCGAGCGCCCGCCCCGAGGAGACAGGCGCCCGGCCCGGCTCCGGAGGGCGCTCCGCCCGGCGGTCGGGCCCGCCGCCTCCTCCACGGGAGGGCGGCAGCGCCCGGGCCGGGACGGCGGTGACAAGAGCCCAGCTCCCGCCTCACCTTCGGGCGCCGGTGGCGGCGGCCCCGCGCTCCTCCGCGCCTCTCTGCCTCCGCCTCCAGCAGCCCCACGCCGCCGCCGCCGCCGCCGCCTCCCCCAGTGTCTCCGCGGAGTCTCCGCCTCCCTCGGCCGCCGCCGCCGCCGCCGCCGCTGGGCCCGGCTGTGCGCCACGTGATCGCGCCACGTGACCCGGCGCGGCTGGCAGGCGCCTCCCCAGCCAGCCTCGCGCCCTCGCGCCCCCGTGGACCCGCGTCCCGTCAGTTAACGCCCGCTGGCTCCGTACTGGGGTCGCGGCCCCCGCCACGCTCGCCTCGCGCTCTGCCGCGGCCCGAGCTGCTGACGCGCTCGTCACCTGCTTGCTGCCACGCGCGAAACCGCCAACTAAACAGACCCTCCAGCCACTGCACACTCGCGAGCACTCCCTCAAAGCGCACACACAACCGCCGAGCACCCACTCGCGCGCCCACCGGTTCTCACGCACGTGTCACACACGCGCACCCCGCAGTCTTCGTCCCTCGGGGCAACTACACAGCCTGGACAACAGTGAAAACAGTAACTAGTCCAGTCTGAACCCCACCCCGTTGAGGAATCCTTCCTACCCGGTAATGTAATGATTTGTGTGCGGTCCGAACTTAATTTGAGCCGGAAGTGGATATCACACTCTTGAAGTTGAAAGTCTGTAGAAAGCGCACGTTGCTTGTAGTGTGAACCACCGTATGTCTGCATGAAGACAGTCACTGAAGTGTCTTTGATGGTGATGATCTGATCTCAGATATATCGTATCTTTTTCAGTTGATCTTATGGGGAAAGGACTGGATAGCGTCATTTTAACTCACACAGAGGAACAAGAATTCACAGCCTTTTTCCTCCCATTAAACTGATGTCCTTCTAGGAATGGAAACTTTATGCATCCGTCCTTCATTTTCCATCACGTACACAGAAATGACACTGCTGATTGTGTGACTGTTTATGTATGTGTATTTTTAAAAAAATAGACAAGAGCAGCATCCTTTCTTGATTTGAGGCATAACATGCCCTATATATTTAAGTATAGCAGCTAATCTTTGCAAGTGTTCCGCAATTTTTCTGTTTTGCCTATTTGCCAAAATTTTCACATCAGCTTCAGCTTCAGAGTTAAGAATTCCGGCTTCCGTGAATTTCTGGTTGTCAGAAAGAAAATAAAAGAGTTGGACTAGAGTCTTTAAATCCTGAAATTACATACCTACAATTTCACAAATGTTGGCAAGTACTACCTAGATTGTTTTAATTTTTAAAAAGTTTTTAAACGATAATATTTGCCTCATTAACATATGCACATAAGTATGTGTTCAAGAGAAGTATTAATATGAGCATTATTTAATCGCATTTTATAACATCTCTAAAATTAATTTTGACACCTTTCAGAAGTAAAACTACATTCAAGTCTTAGAGTACCTTAACCATAAAAGATAATCCTCCCTCATTGCAATGTAATGAGTATTTTGCTTCAACTGCATTAACTGGGGTCAGCAGTCAGGACCTGGAGCAAATTTTGAAAAATCTGACCCTGACTGTTAGACCTTAAATAGTTAGTAAACTGATGAAAGATGAAAATATGCAGTTGAAGAACTTTTCTTTTCTCTTTTTTTTTTTGCGGTACGCGGGCCTCTCACTGTTGTGGCCTCTCCCGTTGCGGAGCAACAGGCTCTGGACGTGCAGGCTCAGTGGCCATGGCTCACGGGCACAGCCGCTCCACGGCATGTGGGATCCTCCCGGACTGGGGCACGAACCCGTGTTCCCTGCATCGGCAGGCGGACTCTCAACCACTGCGCCACCAGGGAAGCCCTGAAGAACTTTTCTTGACCTAACAAATGCAATGGATATAACAGCCTAAAAATGATTTAACAAATACGATTAAGACTGAACAATGTGGGTGTTCTTTCTAATGCAAAATGAAAAAATATTAAATTTGAAACCACTCTTCTCCTAATACCATAGTTTTCCTTATGGCTCACATGTGCAAACTCTCTTTTATTCAAGCACTGTTTGGCACAAATGCAGCCAACTCTCAGCAAAACTGCAAAGGCTCTCAGGTCTGTCTTCCACCTCTGCAGTTTCCCACAGCGTGAGCGGTGGTGTGAATGGTCTCCGAAGCAACTATCTTCATTGAAGTCCTGCTTCTACCACTTAGGAACAAGTGATAACAAGAACAACATACGTAACACCACTTCTTCTTTTTCTTTTTTGTCTTTTTTTTTTTTTTTTGCGGTACGCGGGCCTCTTACTGTTGTGGCCTCTCCCGTTGCGGAGCACAGGCTCTGGACGCGCAGGCTCAGCGGCCATGGCTCACGGGCCCAGCCGCTCCGCGGCATGTGGGATCTTCTCGGACCGGGGCACAAACCCGTGTCTCCTGCATCAGCAGGCGGACTCTCAACCACTGCGCCACCAGGGAAGCCCCTAACACCACTTCTTTAACAGTACATTCAAATAACAATATCTACCTCACAGGGCTGCTGAAAGAATTAAATAAAATAATTTATGTAAAGCACTGAGTATAGTGCCTGATACATAATAGGTACTCAACCAAAAATAAGAGCTCCAGTGTATTAAATGCTTGCCATGAGCCAAATGCTGTGCCTTGCTGGTTTTTATTTTTACTATTCTTTCTGTTCCTTTTTACTCAGGTTGGGTGCCCTTCATCCCCCGCCGTACCACCACCAACCCCTTCCCTATTCCCTCTCTCTGCCTTTTCAGAAGGAAAATGGTTTCCTTAAGCCATTTTAACTTGAAGGCTCATTTACAGAAATCTATTGAATCAGTTGTGAATCAGTATTTTAAGCTTAAAAAAAACCTTTCAAATTATGAAATAAAAATTGACTATAATTTAGAAATCTGAGGCAGCTGGGGGCCATTAAGAAGGAGATTTGGCAATGCGCACCCTACCACTGGCCTTTGAAACCCCCTGGTCCAACAATTCTAATTTTGTTGTGTTTAAAGTACATCGTTGTCTTGGGCAAACTTTTTTTTTTTTCTAGTGAGGTCCTAAAACTGCCTCACTCTTGAAGGAGGAGGAGTGAGTGGAGAGCAGCGCCCCCCCCCACACACACAGCTTCTTCCAGGCTCAGTGTCAGGGCCATGACAGGCCAGCCACGGCCAGGAGGCCTCGGAGGTGAAGGTGCCAAGAGCGCAGAGAAGATGGAATCGTGGCCTCACCTGGGGCTGGCCAGGGGCAGCTGCGCGCACAGCCGGGGCGGGGCTGGAACCAGCTTGGTCTCAAACCTCACAAGGTTGGCTGCCCTCCAGGAAGCTGCTGGGGATGACAGTCGTGGAGCTGAGAGCCGAGGGCTGTCGGTTGGGACTGAAGATGATCAGGGTGTAAGTCTGGTAGCCAAAACATAATACAGCAGAAACGACTTTACTCCAATATCAAATGCCTTAAGCACTCGCGTCTCAGCTGTCTCTGTCGTATATAACCTGCTTGTTAGATCTTCTTTTTGTCTTTGCTTTAGCCACCACGTGGAAGAACTAGTTGGAACTTGGGAAGAACAGACGTCATCACAAGGCCCAGGGTTATCATCCGTACCATCACTTGGTGACTGGGTGAGCTTGGACACATACTCCGCCTCTCCGATCTTCACTGCTCAGCCTGTAAAAGGGGGAGGGGGTGTTGGTCCCTGATCCTTCCCCACTCTAAAACTCTATGACTCTTTCAATGAGATTTGTTAATAGGGAGAAATGCATAGGACCCTTTCCTAACCTGTGGCTTCCCTATAGTTTGGAATATTCATAACAACCCACTGTCAGGAATATTTCATTTAACTTGGCCGTGCTAAGTGAAGGACAAGATGAACTGCCAGGGGGTGGGGGCTTGGCTGCACGCAATTGTAGACCTCAGTGGACTTGTTAAAGTATAAAGTGCCAAAATGAGTTTGCAAAGCGTAGACCTCCCCCCTAACATTTAGTTTCTCCATGTCAAATTCACCCAATTTACATTTCTTAAGCTAGGAAAGCTGTAGAAGAAGAAAGAAAGAGCATTTTAAAATCAAATTTCTGTCTCTACCCCATCCTCTTATTTTCTGTCCCTCCTCCCTCACTCACCCTTTTCTTCCCTTGACCATGAATCCAAAATATACTTGGTCACCAGTATGAGGTCACGAACAGGACCAATGTTCAAGTATTTCTCCATTTTGCAGGCATCTACCATAAATTTTCTGAGGCTATAAGTACAGCAAACACGGTTGGACCAACCACCGTTCTCCCCTCTTGCTTGCTAACAAACCCCAGTGTGTTAAGCTGTCCACGTCCTCCACTGACCAGTGCTCCCGGAAGCCTGGCCACTGCCCACCCCCATCCGGGTCTCAGCCACTGGTTCTCACAGTGGATCCCAGGCCAGCCACAGCAGCACCTGGGAATTGTTAGAAACACACATTCTTAGCCTCCACCTCAAACTTTCTGATGGAAACCCTCATGTTGGGGGCTGAGCATCCTGTGTTTTAACACACTCCACAGGTGATTCTGACCCACACGGAAGAATCACTGGTATAAACCAATCTTGACAATTCTATTCTCTTTTCTTAGAAATAGGCAAGTGATCCTGTTCTAGCCAATTAAACCCGAGTGATAGTCTGCAAGGGAAGCCTTTTGAAAACAGCTTTTTAGCTCCTAAAAAAAATATGAGGACATTTTCCCAGGCAAGTTGTGGGTCTGATTTCTTAATAATACTAAGATGTCATTTGCATTTTCACTCGCATTCCCTCATGAATATACATTGGTCTTATCCAGAGGTTACATGCTGTGCAATATCACAACAGATTGGGTGCAGAAGTAGATATGAGAACCCACTTGTTCTCTATTAAGAAAGACATTACAGGACTTCCCTGGTGGTGCAGTGGTTAAGAATCCGCCTGCCAGTGCAGGGGACACGGGTTCGATAAACTAATAAATATTTTTTAAAGTTTCTCAGTTTTAATTTATAAAATGGTAAACATCGATAGATATAACCCATATGATTATATTTTAAAAGCTCTTTGGGGCCCTTAATTCTTAAGAATGTAAAGACTGAAGTCCTGAGAAAGTCCGAAGGCTGCTCCTTTGGGCGAGGATGCAGTGTCTGGGGCTGCTGC